TCCAAATCTCCATTAAATGACTTCAAATTTTATATACGACCTCCTTATACTATTTCTAACAATTTTAAATAACACTCACTCCAAATTTCTCACAAAATCAAATTCGAAATCTAAACCCACATATTTAAGATTGTTAAAAGTCTAATTTTCACCATTTAAATGGATTTGGTTTGTTGAACTAATATTTGAGTTATAGTTGTTGATTCGAAAATTAACTTAAAAGCTTGAGCAATCTTTTTTAAAAATTAAATAGTAATTTTGAGAATTTATTGGAGTTGGATGTTGAATCTTAGCCTATTATTTTTGGGCTAGTTAGTTGTAAATTGAAATATAGGCTATGAAATTGAAAAGTAGGGATCCCAGTTGTTAATAAGTGAAATTTTTCCTTTTTAAATACGCTGCCAGTGGCAATTTTGTAATTAATCTGAAAAATCTGGCAACCTAATTCTTAGTAAAATGACCCTAAAATCCTCATACGATGCCCAAATTCGACAATTCTTTTTGTTACGGGTCCGTAATTACTATACGGATCTAATTCTTCAATCAAAAAAGAAATCGGAGCTCATTTGTTCAATATGATATCATTTATGCTTGAAGAAACGGCATCAAAACATAAGAAAAACGAGCACAACACAACCAAACCTATTCAAAACTCACACGAGGCCCTCGAGACCTCAACCAATAATTTTAACAAGTCATATATCACTACCCGAACTTGGTCGAACCTCCAGAACACCCAAAACAACACCAAAGCACCAAATCAACCTCGAATTCAAGCCTAAAAAATTCTAAACTTCCAACTTTCGCCAATTCAAGCCTAATTCTACCACGGACCTCCAAATTATATTCCGGACACACTCCTAAGTCTAAAATCACCCAACGTAGCTAATCGAATCATAAAAATCCAAATCCGAATTCGTTTACTCATAAGTCAACTTCGGATTGGCTTTTCTAACTTAGCTTTCTAACTAAGAGACTAAGTGTTCATTTCATTCTAAAACTACTCTGAACCCAAACCTACCATCTCGATACAACTCAACTCAGCTGAACAACACATAAATAAGTATAGATGGGGGAAATGGGGCTATAATTCTCAGAACGAACGACCGGGTCGTCATAGTGAACTTCTTGAAGCAGTACTTTATTAGTATGGGCAGTATACAAACTATGTTTCTTTGTTGAAGTTTATTTCAAGTATATGCATTTGAATTGTTTTTATTCTGTTGCAGTATACAAATTATGTTTTTTTGTTGAAGTTTATTTAATATATATAATATATATATATATGAATTATTTTTACTCACTTACTTATCTTCTAATTTAGTGCTTGAGATCATAACGTATATGCTTGAAATAAATGTGAATATAGAGTATAAGGCAAACAAATATAATTGTTAAACCACAAAATTGTGAATTAAAAATTACTTCATAGCGCAGACAAAAATGCCACGCCTAAAAAATTTGGCCATAGGGATTGTCAATTTGGCGCTATGCTCTATAACTGCTGCTTGAGAAGCCACGCTTTAAAAATGTTGTCTATAAGGAACCAAAGACCACGCTTCAAATCTGTAACTTTATGTCATAAAAGCGTGGCTACAAGAAAAAATATAAAGCGTAGCTTTTTTAAGCATCTAACAAAAATAATCAATAAGATATTTATTTTGTATTAACCACACATAGAAAAAGCACAGTAAGTTGTCTGTAAAAGTGGAGCAGGCAATGAAGAGAGAGTGCAGTAGGAAGAGGAAACATGCGTACTGCGTGTCTCCCTTTTTACCCATTTTTGAAGATATATATATATAGTTTCTTTCTGTTTCTCATTCTTATCTCATGCTTTCCCCTCAATTCACATGTCTCTCGTGTTTCCCCCCTTTTTTGGCGTTCCCTTGCGTTTGTATCTGTCCAACTCTTTCTCTATTGGGGAAAGGGCTAATTATACTCCTCAACTATACGTAATACTACAACTACAACAACAACTAGTTTCTGTTGGGATCGGAATAATATGGTGGATCAATAGAGGTGGAGTCAAGACTTTAAGTTTATGAATTCGGAATTCTAATCATTTTAAGTTACTGAGTTCTACATTAATAATTTATACATATTCAATAGATTTTCTAAGAGAAATACAGGGTTCGAACCAAAGCTAATGGGTTCGATCGAACCCGCACCCGTCACTCTAGCTCCGCCCCTGAGTGCATGCGGAAGCTAACAACACAAAGCTTGATGGACGATAAATCAGACAAGAAAGAAAATATACTAAAGAAGCATACTATATTAATATGGTTTGGTCAAGTGACGTACATAAATCTACTAATAAAAAAAACTAATAGAGAGAATAAATTCTCACCTTAAATAAGAGCCCATTTGGACACAAAAAAATTTCCCAAAAAAAATTCACTTTTTTACGAAATCAGCGTTTGTTCGTAAATTTTCCAATTTTCACTTGAAGATGCATTTTGGAAATTTTCGAAAATTTGAAAATTTCCAAAAAGCAGTTTTTCAAAATGTTCACTCAAGTCACTCACAAAACTTCAAAAACAACCCAAAATTATATTAATGTCCAAACACAAATCTTTTTAAATACCATTTTCACTTGGAAAAAAAAATTCACCATGTTTTGGAATTTTATTCTTATGTCCAAACGCCAATAAAACTCTCTAAAAGACTACATTGTAGATATTATTGTTGTTGTTGTGAAAAGAAAATGTCAATTCATAGAAGTACAAAACTTTTACTCTCGGAGAAGGATAAGGCATATGAAGGATATCTATTCCTTTTAGGAGTCTTTTTCTCTTCCTATGAAAGAGAGTCCTAATAGATTAAAAATTTAGGGCAAAATCCTAACAGTTTCATAAGTGGGGTCCGTGGAGAATAGTGTATACGCAATTCTTACTCCTACCTTATGCAGGTAGAAAGATTGTTTCCAATAAACCTTTGATTCAGCCAAACATAGTCACAACTATATAATACTATTTTAAATTTTATCTTCCCTTATATTTGAGGGTTATTCATACTTTTGTTGTTAGCAAATTATTCCGAATTTGCCTTGACCCCTACGGACCCTTAACATGAATCCTAAACGAAGTATAATGAAAGGTAATTCTAAACTATTGTAAAAAATAGAGGTTTAAATATGAAACTTTCTTCCGAAATATTTTAACACGTGGAATCCGCTCACTCCACACTAAAACTCCGTGGAGGTCAAAGGTATGAATGCATAATATATCATGTATTTGAAATATATCCATTTATACTTTATTTGTATAAATGGATGTATTCTAACCTTTTTGCCCTATGTAGACTGTATTTGAAGGAAAATAGAATATCCTGGAGGTAAGACAAACTCCAATTAACAATTTACCTAACATAGTGCACTTAAATATAATTGAACAAAATTGATGTTTTCTAAGGTGAACGCCACCGACAATATTTAAATATAGGCTAAATATAGTATATAGTGGAAGCGTGAAAGAATTGATGAGCATTGTTTGCTTAAATATTTTATTCCTCATTAATACTCTTTTGTCTTTTGGATGGAAATTATATATTAGTATATGAGAAAGTGGTTTTCAAGAATTGTCTCGTAGATGTTATAGTGGGATTTCATGGGTCCTCCCTAGTTACTACGTTGGACGGCTCCCGTTAAAAGGGAATAAATGGCCTGATTAAATAAGTTAAACAAATATTTCATCAAAGTTGGAGTAAGATTTATCCTATTATAATAATAGTAGAGGTTAGGACAAGAAAAAAAAGATGGTATTTTATTATGTTAATTATATACTAGAAGCTTATTTGGAGCAATCCTTTTGTGAATTTTAACATTTTCATTTGAACTTTAGTTTATTACTAAACTAATTAATGATAGTGGGCCCTGCACTTCTTGTTGTTATCCGTTTAACTAACATTTTTGGTAGTTCATTTGGTGGTTTACCGACTATATTGACCTCATCATTTCAACTTGGACAAACATTAATTATAAGATGAGATCTTGTAGTATCTTATCTTATTTGAGGAAATTCCACATGTTTAGGTGACTATGCTTTGAACATCACCAGAGGACGACCTAGTAGTCAATGAGGTGAGTTAAAAATTATAAAGTTTTAGGTTCGAATCATAGTGCAGATAAAACTACTAGGTGATTTCTTCTCATCTGTTCTAAGCTCGATGGGCGAGTTAACTGGTATATGTTGCTAGTAAAAGGTGAAAGATATCACATGTAATTAGTCGAGATACACGCAAACCAACCGCGATACCACGATTATATATTTTTTTTTTAAAAAAGTGACTACGCTTTGAACATCTTATTTGCTACTATAAAGGAAGTTTCAAAAAAGGAGAAGGAAGAAGCATAGAAGCCGTGAAAGATTAAGCTACAGATTGGTAATCTGATTCAATGTTTAAATTAATACTCCCCGTTTTATATTAGATGAGATAGTTTGACTCGGCACATAGTTTAAGAAAAAAGAAGAAGACTTTTAAAACTTGAGATCTTAAAAGCTTAAGGGTTAAAAAGTTTGTGGGACCATGACATTTGTGTGACTATAAAAGCTTCTCTTCAAGGGTAAATGGGTAAAATAAAAGAGTTTAAAGTTGAATTATTTCCAAATTTAAAAATGTGTCATTTGTTTTTGAACAAACTAAAAAAGAAAATACCTCATTTAATATGAAACTGAAATATGAAACTGAGGGAGTACATTGTTTGATTTTTGATTAAAAACTATGTGTAACTAATTAGGCGTTCAATTTTTGATTGAAAATTATGTTAAACAGAAGTGACACTTAAAGCAATTTACACAAAATTATAAGTTTTAACCAAATTATTAGTAGTTGATTTGTTGAGTGGGAACAATATGCTCTCCGGGGAAAAGCAGAAAGGTGATTGACGGCCGCACACTTTGGTGAGTTCCTAACGCGCCTTATTTTCGGGTCATATCGACTGAAGAAGCATCTCTTTTACACTAGCCTTGTTTTTTTCTCCTTAAACTAAAATAATCAGAAACTAATGAAAGCTCCTTGGATAAATCATTTGTTAATGAAATGACCAATTCACACTAATTGAAACAGTAATATGTCACAAATTCAAACACTAAATTTCTGTAACCCTAATTAATATAGTAGGGCTGGATGAATATACACGTTTACATCCATAATATATACATACAGCCTAATCTACTAAATTACCCAATTTTTTAAGGTAGAAATGCATTTACGTGATAATTTCTCGGTAATCGGCTTTCCGGCACAACTCCGGTGGCCGACGACGAGCTCGCCACCGGCAACTCGCCGCACTTATGGCATCTCGTTACTACCAGGATCTGCCGGCAAGACGGACACGACGAATGCGAGCCTAACCAGGTATCGATACATCCAACATGAAATCCATGGCCGCACTGCGGCAGCACTCGAATCTCATCTCCGACGGTGAATTCCGCCAGGCAAATGGCACATTCGGAGAATTTCGCGGCATGTTCGGTTGTGTAACTGAGCTTCGGAAGCGACTTGAGGACCTTCTTTTTCAAACCTTTATTAGCCGGAGGTGATGAAAAGGCTGAATTTCCGGTGGCTCTAGCAGAGATCCGTCGGATCCAGGCGCAACGAGCAACGGCAACGAGACCGAGGACGCAAATAAGGGCGCAAAGGAGAGCGGCGAGGATGACGACGAAGTCGGAATCGACGTTGCCAATACGTGAGGAGGAAGTCGCCGGAGAAGGTGAAGTGGACGGTTTAACGCCGCCGGGAATAGGTGAAGGATCAGTATTAGTCATGAGGAAAGTGCGGAGCTAATTGAGAGATACGATAAAAGCGTTGTGCTTAAACCTATTTCAATTTCAGCTCTTTCTAGCTTTATAAAGGAGTAAAATATAGGCAAGTGTTTAGCCAACAACTTTTTATTTTTTAATTTTTATTTTTAAATGTTAATTTTCTTCGGATCAAGAAAGCGAACGGATGGAGTCAAACTCACACATCTTGTGCGGTAGACTCACGTCGTTGCTATGAAACAAATTACAATATATATAATTTAATCTGTTGTAATAAATTAACATTAATTTTACTAAATTACCATTTAATATAAGTAGCATATTATATAAAGTAAATATTTTTTATACCGATAGAAGTCTATAAAAAGACTACCTAGTGGAATAAAGTGATCATTTTATAAGGTGACCCTATGATTTTTAATTTCCAAAAGTTCCGTCTTTCCTATGTATAAAAGAGCACTTCCTTCGTCTTAAATCATGATTCATTATTTGATTTTTAGCACGAAATTTAAGAAAACAATAAATAATTTTAAGATTTCTGGTATAATAGAGACCTTAGACATTTATTTAGCTAGAGGCGGATGCAGAGGCAGAGTCAAGATTTAAAGCTTTTGGGTTTTGAATTTGCAATCGGACCCATAGCTCGTTAGTTATTGGGTTCACAATTAAGTATTTATACATATCTAATAGATTTTCTATGTCGATGATCTATCGGAAACAGTCTCTCTGTCTTCGTTGGGTAGGGTAAGGCTGCTTACACACTACCCTCCCCAGACCCCTTGTATGAGATTAAGTTCTTTTTTTTTTTTTTTTGTGTAATAGATTTTCTAATACAAATACAATGTCTAACCAAAAAGTTGTTGGGTTCGTCCGATCCGTAAGTAACACTCTTCCTCCGCCCCTGCGGATGCATACTATAGGAATAGCGTCGCCAACACCTGAAGACTTCGACAAAAATTCCATGTACACTTGCAAATATTTTCATGAAATAGTAAGATATTAGTATAGACGTCCGTATCAATCTTTATGACCATGAATAAATTTATAAATATCAAATTTATCTAAAATCAAACTTTTGAACTTATTCGCATATGAAGTCCATAAAAAGTGTTTTCAAATACAACAATAACAGGAATATGATTGGGGGCCGAAGAACAAAATTAAAGTGAGCTAGCTAGAACTAGTACAAAAGCCTATAGTTCCAATTAATTCAAAATGCAATATTGCGAACCTCTCTTTTCCTCTTTTAGTATTTTCCTTCACTATCATATCAAGTGTAGTACTTAATTATGAGTTCGTTGATTTGTAGCAATCAACATATCTTTTGGCTAGACTGGATAAAGATGAAATAAAGAGCATCAATAAAGACTAAAAAGCATCTGAGTTGTTACATTAAGGAATGATTTTATATACTACAGTGCAAGCACATGGGAATTGGGGTGTGATACATCCATCATTTATCTATTTTTTTGCGATGTTGACATTTTTTTATGATTGAGAAATTTATTTGGACCCAGCGAAAAAGCTAGTTGCAACCTTCGAAATTGTAGAATAATGAGCCTGTCCCTCTACCCTTCTTCATCTAAATACCAGAATTAGTTCGCTTAGTATAGTGCTCGAACCTACGACCTAAGACACAAACACAAATCCCTCTGCCATAAATAATTTAGTAAATTAAAGAGAGAAAAAAAGATAAGATTGATCAAAACAGAATACAGATCAATCGATTTCAGTTATGATATTGACGGATCATACTGACCTCTGTTTTAAAAGGCAGAATTGAGAGTTGCCCGGGACTCTCCCCGGGGCGGAGCACTCGTAAAACGCCCCTGGGCTTATGTGTGGGGCTTAGTTCCGTGAGACTTGCGCCTCGGCCATCGGGGCTTACGCCCCGGACACGCCCGACGCCCAGCGCACTGGACTCGCCTAATAGAACTTTACGCAATTGTATGTAACTAACCTTTAAATTTTCTTAATAAATCGTTGACTGCTCAAAATTACTTTTTTCCTAAGTATAAATTATTAAGTTGGGAGTATTGTCATAATTAACATAAAAATTATTGCACGTTATCCATTAAGACTGCTATGATAGTTAATTTTACATAAATCTTTCATTTAAAAAGTATTTATTTATTAACTATTGTTATGTCTTTACTGTATAATAGTCCATAATTTTTTTTATAATCATTTTTCTAATTTTTTTTCACGTTTACGAGATACAATACTTATTAATTTAATAGCTCAATATTAGCTTGTAACTATGTATAAATAATTAGTTATCATGGTATTGTATGGTGAATTATGTGTCACTTTATTAACTTGTTGAGTATATGAGAATCATATTTAAATTGTGAATTATGTTTTTATAAAAATTCTCTTTCAAATAGAAAGCATATTAAATAAAAGGAGTATTTTCAGAAAATATCAAATTATAATATCGAAATTCTTTCAAGATTCATTACTCCTTAAGAGATACATATAAGATTTCGTATCGAATACATTACTTTTGATGTTTGAGTTGTAACGATATTGCAACTATTCGCATATCATACTTTTCGTATTATTCATAGTTGAATTATAATTTATATATTTTAAATATATTATTTGTATAACTCTGTGATTTTAATGTAATTTTTATAATTATTTTTTATTTTATATTATCTTAAAATTCATGAAATTAGTAAAATTTAAAGAGCCGTGGGACTTACGCCCCATGTCTCAGGGCTTACGCCTCGCCTCGTCAGAAGTAAAACGTCTCCCCTCACGCCCCCGCCTTTTAAAACATTGATACTGACAATACATCCATAATAAATAGTCGTCATACTTAAGAATACCAAAAAAGAAAAAGATTAAGATAGAGAAATCTCTATAACGAAGTATGGTCTTATGCGCCTAGTCGTCCGAGTTTGGAGATAGGTATCTTAAAAAGAAAAAAATAGAGCAATCTGTGGTCCAATATTACCAAACATCTTTCAGATTTCCTATTTATGGATTAGTTTTGAGAATGCCCCATTCCTATAGGCATATGCTCTGAAATTTTTTGTTTAGTTTAGGCCAATCTTGCCAAACAAGTCCCTCCCCCCCCCCCCCCCCCCCCCCCCTAATATATCTTACCTCCAACGTAACTCTCACATATTATACATCAAACACGATAGTAACATATTCAGTATATTCGATCTGGAAAGGATAGTGCGTACGCAGACATTATTCCTATCGAAGGTAGAGGGGTTGTTTCCGATAAATCCTCGAGTTTCAGCTCAAGTCATTCCCACATTATACATATCGGTTCATTTTCACTGTCCCCTTCCCTAATCATCCGGTATAATATAAAAAAGCTTTTAAAAAAAGAACGACACATCTTATCCTTTTAACATCATAACCAACAAGGAAAAA